AGAAGACTAGAGTGGAGAGCAAAGAGTCCAGCTGATATGAAGTGAGGGGAGATGCACAAGAACAACCATACTTGCAAATTGTACCCACTTGACCTGGCTTTGATAGCTGGATGATCAGAACTCGACTAGAAGAAGAAAGAAGAGGGGAAAAAAAAAGTAACCCACTACAATTTGATGAACTTTACCTAAATGTATGGATGTTGTTGTTGTTAAGTGCCGTCAAGTGGATTCCGTCCCATAGCGACCCTGTATAGGGTTTCCAAGGAGCCGCTGGTGAGCTTTAACCACCGACCTTGCAGTTAAAACAACTTTGCAGTCTGACGCATTAGCCCACAGCACCACACCAGGACTCGTTTGGATGTAGTAGCTCAAAAAAGGTAACAAATCTTTACAGTAAGGATCACTCCCACCCCATCGGTACACAGGGTTGACAGGGAGCGGCAACTTAGACATTGGCAACCCAAAATATGGGGGAGGGGGGCTACAAAGGCAAGAAATGACTGGCTTACAAGCTTTCAAGAGGGAGCCAAATTCCAGAGTGGCCGGGGAACGTAGAATCTCCATTGAATGATTTCCAACCTATTGGGATGGGGCTAATGAAAGGAGATGGGGTAAGACTCATGTGGTACAACAGTGAATAATTGCTATCAGGGCTGACTGTGAGGATCAGAAATGTAAACATAGATGTTTTGCAACAAAAGGAGGGGTGTGATTGATTTTGCAGTCCAAGAACAGAGGTCCCTGGGACCATCAAGTGAGAAGAGCGGAGTACGGGACCCTAGCCAGAGAAGCTGTGACGCCAGAAATGGAGGCAGAGACGATGATGTGGAGAGATGGAGTGGCTGGGAACACTGGCTTCAGGGAGGGAGAGGGGCTGTGTGCTGACAGCCAGGAGGCAGGCCTGTGAAGTGTACCCTTTGGTTATTTGATGATGCATGGAGGGGATTGTAATCATGGCAATGAAAAGAAATACAATAGGATGAATGTAAAATTGATGTTCTCCCATGTAAACTCACATAATTCACAATTAAAAACTTTTTTAAAAAATGTCTACAATGTGTTTGAATAATTTGTGTATAATTGTCAAAAGGGAACTTAATTTACTGCACAAACTTTCACTAAAAATACTGTTATATATGTATTATTGCTGTTAAAGGCTATTGCGTCTGTTTTGACTCCTATCAACCCTATGCATGATTTCAGAGGATAGGCTGGTGGGTTTGAACTGTTGACCTTGTGGTTAGCAGTTCAGTGCTTACCCTGCAGCACCACACCACAAGAAACCAAAAGAAATGTGCAGAAATGGAGTAATATACTTGGCCAGTGGATAGGATGACTAACATTGTGAAAAGGTCAATACTACCCAAAGCAATCTACAGATATAATGGAATGCAATCCTAATGCCAATTCCAACATCATTCTTTAAAAGATGGTCAAATTAATCATTAACTTCATATAGAAAGGAAAGAGACCTGGATAAGCAAAGCATTATTGAAAAAGAAGAACAAAGTATAAGAGGTTTCTCACTTTCTGATCTCAAAGCCTACTACATAGCTGCAGTAGTCAAAATAGCCTGGTAGCGGTTCTACCCTAAACACATAGAACATGGGGAGAGTGGTGTGGCGCTGTGAGCTAATGTGTCAGACGGCAAAAGTTGTTTGAATTGCAAGGTCATGGTTCAAGCTCACCAGTTGCTCCTTGTAAACCATATATAGTGTCGCTATGGGTGGGAATCAACTCAAAGGCATTTAACAACAACCACCACCACCTACATACGATCAACTGATCTTCGACACCGGGTCAAAATGCATTAAACGAGGAACAGTCTCTTCAACACATGTGCTGGCAAAAGTAGAACTCCACTTGCAGAAAAATAAAAGCGGACCCATGTCTCACATCTTATATTATAAAGAACTCAATGTAGTTTAAAAACCTAAATGTAAAGCCTATAACTTTAAAGATCATGAATGAAAAAACAGAGATAAATTTAGGGGCTCTGATGCATGGCATAAACTATCAAACATAACAGTAAACACACAAACAGAAGACAAAATATATGACTGGGACTTTTTAAAAAGTAGACATTTACCCCACCCCACCCCCATGAACTTTTGAAGCATACTTTTATACACAAATAGCTATAATTAATTGACATTAACATTTTTTTTTTCCTTTGGGGCTAGAAGCAGGAAGTTTCATTGCAGCAGGAAGTTTCATTGCACTTTTTACTCTCCATTGACTGTAAAATGTAATCAAATATATAACTGGTTTGGGGGAAGGCAGTTAATGACTTAAGACATTTAAGAATAAAATGGCAATGCATTTTAGTAACACTAACCTTCATAATTTTTAGAAACTCTGAGCTACAAATTTATATGAATGGTGTAACTGAATTAAAATTTTCTTGCTGTATCACAATCACCTTATATATTAACTGCTTAAAATGCTACAGGATATTTATAATCACAGTCAAATTCTTTGCACAAGATGATATTTAAAATAACGATAATTTTTAAGTCTAAAAGATTTATCTGACAAAGTAAAACTATCATTTTTAGTACAACTTCAGTAAAAAAGAAAACATGAGACTGTCTCTTGAGATATATCCCTTAAGGTTTATCCAAGTCAAAAGACTACAGAGGACAAAGTCACTAAAGAACTTTCAACAGGCCATGGAGCTTTTCAAAAGATAATAATGAAATACAAAAGAAGGCAATTTTTTGAAACCTTATCTGAAAACTGTGACAGGAGAACTTCAATTATGCCTGGCCTACCGACTCTAAATATTTTCACAGTTAAAGTTCAGAATAAAGATTAGCAGTTTACATGCCTAGCTAACCTAGCTAGCACTGGGGTCTAAGACTGGAACAACAGAAAATCTACCCCAGCAACAAGGGACAGGTAAAGTTTAGGGACCTTAGGAGGTACACAATGCTCACACAGAATAAAGTGTATAATATAAGAACTGCGTAACAAGATGTTTGTTTTGGAGTACCTTCATGGGTTTTGTATTAAGATAAAAGAACTTGAGAAATGTGAAGATAATTAAAATTAAAATCAAACCAAGAGCTTTCAATTATGATACCTTTTTTAAAACAGCAGAATCTATTTAATGAAAGAATATTCTGAGATAGAAAGACAAGCCTAAAAAGAAAATAAATTTATTTCTGTTGCTACTCTTAGCTACTACTGAGTAGATCCTAGATTCATTGTAACACTAACCTCAACGGAGGCAGTTGCCTGATTTTACACTACCCTCAAGTTCAGTTGTGGATCAGACAGCTATTTCCCAAGGATTTTCATTGGCTTATTTTTGAAAGATCGCCAGATCAACCCTTCATTATCTTTTAAACCAACTTATAAATCTATTCAACTGAAAAAAATATGGAAATAAACCAAATACCAAAACTGAAATGATGTTCATCTGAAACTCAAAATCAAAACCACGTTTTATTTTTTACCCAATAATTATGTGTTAATAATACTCTTTTTTTAATGTTACAACTATGAACTTTAAAAAAATATGGTAAACTACTGACTTTTTTATTTTGTGTTTACACTTAACATTTCATTTGAAAGAACAGAGCAGGGATGGGGGACTCTATTGTTAATGGATGAAATGACCAAGTTACTCTTTCATTGAAAAAGTTATTTTACTTCATATGGTTCTTCTATCCATGGTGGTGGTGGCTGTGTACCCTCGAGTTGGTTCCGACTCATAGTGACCCTATACAGGGGTTCTGAGGCTGTAAATCTTTACGGGAGCAGAACACCTCGTCTTTCTGCTGTGGAACAGCTGGTAGTTTCGAACTGCTGACCTTGCGGTTTGCAGCCCGATTTGTAACCACTACGCTACCAGAGCTCCTTTCTTCTATACTCCTTGTAAATGTAAATGCCACCAAATGTTTTATGGTTGGTTTGTACATTAAAAGATGGGAGAAGATGATGATACAATGACATGAGTCAGCTGTGATAGTTCATAGGTTAATTGTGATCACAAAAACTTAGAACTCTAACATGGGTGTAAAATTTGTTGTTGTTGCTGTTCTTAAGTGCCGTCGAGTCAGTTTCGACCCATGGCGACCCTGAGCAGGGTTTCCAAGGCTGTAAATCTTTACGGGAGCAGAAAGCCTCATCTTTCTCCCACAGAGCAGCTGGTAGTTTCGAACTGCTGACCTTGCCGTTCTCAGCCCAATTCGTAACCACTACGCTACCAGAGCTCCTTGGTTATAAAATTAGCCTTCTCAAAAGCTGAAGGTAGGAATCTCACTAATATCAAGAAGAAAGAGCCAGGAGTGGAGATTATCCTTTAGAACCTGAGATCCCTGCTCATTCAACCTCTTTGACTCAGGGACAATGTTGTAACACTGAGGAGTGGAAAAGACTAGAAACAAGAGCCAGAGCACTAGACAAAGTGGTGGGCCTCAGAGCAAGTAAAGCTGAGTGCTATGGGGGCAAATGCTTGCTTAGAGAGTGGACTGCCTCCAGGCACTTAATTGGGATAGTTAGGTTTGCTGATCCACAAAGCTAGAACTGAGCAGCTTCAGGCTGAGGTTTATGGTGGAGTTGTGTGTGTCCTGAGGGCATTTATCAGCAGCCCTAAGAGAAACATGAATCATTGCTGGGACCAAGAGAAGCCTGGGAACAGATAAAGAAAGGCTGTTCTGACTAGAAGAACCATGCCCTGAACATCTCTAACCCTGAAATGTAACCTTTATCTTCCTTAATAAAAACCCATAAATTTGAGTATGGTATTTGAGTTCCGTGTGGCCATTACAATGAATTCTGGAACTCAACTGAGTAGACAATGTTATGGAGGGATGTTTGGTGTCTTTTTTTTTTTTTTTTTTGCTATTATAAAAACAATATGATTAGTTTTAAAAGGAAAAACAGACAGCAGTATAATCACTACAGTTTTCATGTTTAATATCCTAAATACAAAAAGAAAACTAGTAAGTGAACACAAAATAAGTTAACAGTAAAACACTAAGGAAACTTACCTTGCAAAGGCAGGATCTTTACCCCAAATTCTTCAAGATATCCAAGGGCTTGAATAAGATCTAGTTCTTCTTGAATGGCAGTGGGTCTATCTGTTATCAGTTGTAAGCAGCACCTAAGAGAAATTCAAGAATTTTATACAAAGAAGTGTCAGATGGCAGCTGATTATCTTTCTATATTCAACAACTTAAGAATCAACACATATCTATCAGAAATCTTCTACATCACGCTTTATATTATCTTAATTGGCATAGCAAACCTATGAGGCAGGCACATGTCATTATCTTGTTTTGAAGGAAGACAAAATTTAGTTTGCAGAAGGGATATGATTTGCCTATGGTTACATGGAAAATACATATGGTGCAATGATATGAACCAAGGCAATCTAATTTTGTATTTAACATTCATTTTACTATTGATTCTAAAGAAAATGTGTATACATCGAAAGATTAAAAATGGAAGAATTTAGGTAACGTCCAGTTTTACTAAGAGGTAAAAAAGAATCATTTTTATTCAGTTCAAATTTTAGGTATCAAAAATAGTAACAACAACATAGGAAATACACAAGGGATACTTTTCTGATCAATAAGAAGGAATCAGTTTGGAAAGCAGTATGAGATAGCAGATAGAAGAAAGTGATTTGCTAATCAGGAATTGAAAAGGAATGGTGCCGCATTCATTATCAGAAAGAACATTTTAAGATCTAGCTTGTCAGGGACAGGCTATCTATATACATACAAAGAAACCAGTTAATGCCACTATTATGGAAATTTATGCACGAACCACTAAAGTCAGTGATGATGAAATTGAAGACTTCTACCAAGTTGTTCAGTCTGAAATTGATCAAACATGCAATCAAGATGTATTGCTAATCACTGGCAAATGGAATGCAAAGGTTGGTAACAAAGAAGACAGATTAGTAGTTGGAAAATATGGCCTTGGTGATAAAAACGATGCTGGAGATCACATAATAGAATTTTGCAAGACCAATGACTTGCTCATTGCAAATACTTTTTTAAAAAACAGCATAAAAAATGTCTATACACATGGACCTCAGCAAATGGCTAACAGATAAATCAAAGTGACTATATTTGAGGGAACAGACAGTGGGAAAACTCCTTATCAACCAAAACAAGCAAAGGGGCAGACTGTGGAACAGACCATCAACTGCACATATCTAAGTTCAGGCTGAAACTGAAGAAAATTTGAACAAGTCCCACGGAACCAAAATTTGACCTTGAACATATCCCACCTGAATTTAGAGATCATCTGAAGAACAGATTTAATGAATTAACACTAATGAAAAAAGACTAGAAGAGTTGTGGGATGGCATCAAGAATATCATACAGGAAGAAAGCAATCAGTCACTAACAAGAAAGGAGAGAAGGAAAAGACCAAAATGGATGTCAGAAGAGACTCTGACCTTGCTCTCCAGTGTAGAGATGCTGAAGCAAATGGAAGAAATGAAGTAAAAAGGCTGAATAAAAATTTTCAAAGGGCAGCTAGAGAAGACAAAGTTGTGTTATAACTTTTAGATAAACAAAAGGGAAAAACACACTCAGCATTTCTTAAGCTGAAAGAACTGAGGAAAAAAATTAAGGTTTCACTTGCCTTAATGACGGATTTTAAGGACAAAATATTGAATGATGCGGAAAGTAGCAAAAGATGAAAGGAATGAAGAAAGTCACTGTACCAAAAAGAAATGGATGCTGTTCATATGATCAAGAAGCACCATATGATCAAGAGCCAATGGTGCTGAAGAAAGAAGTCCAAGTACACTTAAGGCACTGGCAGAGAACAAGGCTCAAGGAATTGATAGAAAACAAATTGAAATATTTCAATAACCTGATGCAGCACTGGAGGCACTGACTCATCTGGGCCAAGAAATTTGGAATATAGCAACCTGGCCAACTGACTGGAAGAGATTCATATTTGTATTCCTTCAAAAGAGAAGAGGCCCAATGGTTTGTGGGAAACATTGGACAACAACACTGATAATTGCATGCAAGTAAAATTTTGCTAAAGATAATTCAAAAATGGCTGTAAAATTATACTGACAGGGAACTGCCAGAAGTTCAAGCCAAATTCAGACATGGATGTGGACTGCTGACATCAGATAGATCTTGACTTAAAGCAGAGAATATCAGAAAGATGTTTACCTGTGCTTTATTGACTATGCAGAGGCTTTTGACCTGCTATGGACAACACTTCATATAATTAGTATTCCATAACATTTCATTGTGTTCTTAAGGAACCTATACATATAACAAGAGGCAAGATTTCAAACAGAACAAGGGGAAACTGAGTGGTTTAAAATCAGGAAAGATGTGTGCCAGGATTGTATTCTTTCACCATACTTATTCGATCTATAAACAGAGCAAATAATCCAAGAAGCTGGATTATATGAAGAACATGGCATCCAGATTGGAGGAAGACTCACTGACAACCTGCAATACACAGCAAATACAACCTTGCTTGCTGAAAGCAAAGAGCACTTTCAATATTTACTGATGAAGATCAAAGACCACGGCTTTCTGTATGGGTTGCACCTCAGTGTAAAGAAAACAATAAATAACATCAAGATAAATGGATAAAAGACTGAAGTTATCAAAGACTTCATTTTGTTTGAATCCATTATCAACACTTAAAGAAGTAGCAGTCAAGAAACCAAATGATGTACTGCTTTGTGCAAATCTGCTGGTGAGATATTTTGAAAGTGTTCAAAAGCACAGATGTCAATTTGAGGACTAAGCTTTGCCTGACTCAAGCCAGAGTATTTTCAAAAGCTTGGTATGCGTGTGAAAACTGCACATTTTATAAAGAAGACCTTAGAAGAATTGATGCATTTGAGTTATGGTGTTAGGTCCCTGGAGAAGTACATCATGCTAGTTAAAGCAGAAAGCAGTGAAAAAGAAGAAGACGCCCCAATGAGACATAATGGCATAACAGCTGCAGCAGTGGGCTCAAGCTTAACAGCCATTGTGAACATGGTACAGGACTGGGCATGTTCATTCTATTGTGCATGAGGTCACTGAGTCAGAACTGACTCCATGGCAACTAACAACAACAATCCAAGAATTAGTATAAAAAGTTTTTTTTTAGTCAGAGAAAAGTATACTTTTGATTAAAGTTTGGATTAATGAATAAAATTATTTTTTAAAGTACATTTATAGTAACATACAGGAGTAAACGAGAATGAAAAAAATATGCCATGGAGAAATAAAAAATATTAGCTAAACTCATAACAATACCAAAATGAGCAGATCTAGCCACAAATATGGGTCAATATCACTGAATGATAATCATCAATCTTGTCTATTCTTGTAAAATTATAGGATTAATTAGTTCATTACTCACAGATTTTTTTTATTATGCAGAAAAGTTGTACAACCTCTTTGTATTACCTGTCAAAATGCTCAATTCACTTATTTTAAAACTAGTAATTTCAATGCTAGAAATGTATACTACCAATAGGCTCATACATGGTCTAAGTGCAGGTTCCACATATGCACAAAAAATGTTCTGGAATTCTCATTCTCCGCAAAGTTACTCATTATTTGTTATGATCCACATAGTCAAATGTCACAAAAGTAAACACATTTCTGGTATTCCCAGTATTTAGCCATGACATCAGCAATGCTACCCCTTGTTCCAAGTTTTCTTTTGAATCCAGTTTGAATTTCTGTCAATTCCCTGTTAACGTACAGGTGCAACCATTTTTTAATGATCTTCAGCGACATTAACTTGTGCATAATATTAATGATATTGTTCAATAATTTCCACATTCTGTTGGAATGCCATTTTTTGGAACTGGTGGATATAAATATGGAACTCTTCTAACATCTGACACAAATGCTGAAATCATAAAACATTTGGCCAAGTAGCTGTCATCAAATTTCTTGGTATAGACAAGTGTACATTTCCAGTATCACTTTCATTTGTTAAAACATCTCAATTGGTATTTCCATCAATTTCTGGAGCTTTATTATTGCTCACCAGTGCAGCTTGGACTTCATGCTTCAATGCCAGTGCTATATTATACATATATGATATCTTTTTAAAATTTAGGTGCATCTTTGCAAAAGAAAAAGAAATGAAATCCAGGAGACATACAGGATATACCTTTTGAAAAATGATCTCTCAATACCACCTGTCAAAAAGATTTAGGTCAAACACAAATCTCAGTTTCAAAAGTTATTCTATTTTTGTTTTCATCATGAGAAAGAGAAATATAATACTTTGGCAGAACAGAAAGGAAAAAAAAATACTGTGTTAAACAATTTTGTCAACTTCAATAAGATGGTTTCAGAAAACATGATTCTCTCTGAGGTAAGGTATCACTGGAAAAAAATAAAGTTTTGGAAGGACTGAAAAAACTACAAGTAATTTTGGGAAAAAACATAAAGTTAGATACTTATACTATAAACTATATCAAAATGTTATTAATGGGGCCCAAATAAAAGTGTAAAAAACAAAATCATTAAAATACTAAAAATATGCCACAAAAGTAAACACAATGAAAATTAATAATAGTTTAACAGTCTTAGAAATTCAAAGGTTTTTTTTAAAGGATAAGACAAAACACAGAAACCACTAAGAAAATAGTTTGTGGGGTTTTGTTTTTTTTTAAATCTGTGCAGCCATCTTAATAAATTATATGAGGAAAGTCTCCAAGATATAAAAATCAAAATTTCCAAAACCAAAGAAAACGAATTCAGAGATCCCAAGGAGAACCAATTAATACTAAGCTCTGATTACTTAACAGAAATCACGTAGGCAAGAAGGCAATGGAATTACTTAACAGAAATCACGTAGGCAAGAAGGCAATGGAATGACTTATAAAACTGTGAAGGACAAAAATTGGCAACCAATAATTCTATACCCAGAATATTTATCCCTAAAACAAAATGATGAAATCAGGTCATTTCCAGATAAACAAAAATTAAAGGAATTGGTCATATCCAAACTAATGTTACAAAAAATATTAAAGGGAGTTCTCTGGACAGAGAACCTATATCTGAAGACAACATATTAAGATTAACATACAGAATACCAGCATCCACAACTCAGTCCAGATTTGTTGTTCTTGTGGTTTAGTGCCATTGAGTTGGTTCT